TTTCCTCAGTAGCATGTTGGACGCCTTCCAACCTGAGGGGCTCATCTTCCAGCATCGTATCTTTTAGCATTTTGTTTCTGTTCATGGGGTTTTCTTGGCAAAGATACTGGAGTGGCATTGCCATTTCCTACTCCAGGTGGATTGCGTTTAGTCGGAACTCTCCAGTATGACCTGTCTGTCTTGGGTGTCCCTGCCCGGCATAGCCTATAGCTTCTCTGAGTTACTCAAGCACCTTCGCCACAACAAGGCAGCAATCCATGAATGGGTATTTCCTAGATAGTTAATTCTAATTCTGTCACAGTCCATTTTATTAGAGTGAATAAGTCTCTGCAATATAGCTGAGGCTTCCCTGTGCCTTTTCTTTGGCTTGTGCAGTGGTGCAGTGTTTTCCTTACAGTTGGATGCATTGCAGAATGTCCCTCAGGGCTCATCCAAACTGAGCATTTGCTCAACTTTCCTTGTACTCATGATACCAGTAGTGCGTCCCCAGGTGCACCCAACACAAGGCTGAAACATACAAACTCCAACTAACACACACCCACATAAACTTTCTGGGTTTTTTACACCACTGCTAGGTGCTGGTGTGTTTTTGTTCTGTTCAAGTCCAGGATCTGCTCCTGTCGACCTTAGTACTGCAGTGCTGTGTGCTGATCTGTGCATTTTGTGGGTGGATGCCATTTGACAATATTTTGTTATCGGCATGTTTCTGCTGGTCAATCTCCATCTCTTACTGCCACTCCTGTTTAGTTTTCTTGGGATATCAACTGTTCCTACATTCTGCTTTTTAAAAATGTTTTTTAACTCTTCCCGACCATAGCATAAAAGTGAAAACTGATTTTTTAAAAAGAAAGAATTAAGGTAAAAAGCTGAAGGGTTGGGAAATGGGGTTGAGTAAAACAAGGATGGAAGAGAACAGAGTGAACTAGGAGGGCGGAGAAGATGGGCCAAAGAGCGCAGCAGTCTTCGTTGGGAGTGAAACCATCTAGCAGCAAATATCACCCCCACCCCCTCATGTGCGGATGCCAGTACTAGGATATCTGTTCAAATCTGCAACTGCAAGAACAACAAAACAGAGAATCCAGAACAACCCAGGGCCAATAACACCATGTGACCAAGTCCTCAGCCATTTAAACCACATTTCCATCCTGTCCTCTGTGGGTGGTCTTGGGGCAGTGAGTAAGGGATGTCCTTGAAACTGATTGTGCCTCTTCCTTTGCAGTCCTCAGTCCTTGTGTCAGATCTAGGCATGATGTAAAACCTGTGGGCTGATGTGAACTCCCTCCCATCTATTTGCAGTCTAGTTGAGGAGGTGTAGCTTTACCCAACTTAAAATTGCTTCCAATCTGTGTGAAAACTTCTAAGTCCCTTCAAGCTCATCACATGGGAATGGGAAAACAATGCCATTAACTGTGCCTTGCTCCTATCCTTAGGTTCAGAGTTCAGTGGCGAAAATGACTTCCGTTTATCCAGTCTGTTGCAGCCAGCCAGCCAATCTGCATCACTTGCCTTCATCTAGGACTCATACACAGGTTGGAATTACCATATGAATTGAACCCTTCTGTGTTGTCTGTCAAATTCAGCAAATAAAGGAAGAGGCTGCATGGGTGGGGAAAGAGTAAAATAAAGTCTGAAAAATAACAGAAAAGTAATGGAGACCTGCATGGTGGGGAGCCTACAGAAATTTGTAGTCATTTTGTCAGCAGAGTTCAACAAGTTATTAAAGTGAACCTATGATTATGATTTAGAAGTAATCACTATAGAGGCTCTTGATCAGGTAAAAGGAACAAAATACTGTTCCAGGAAACCCACTGAGGGTAAAACATAGACTGGAGTGTAGAATAGAAGCCCCTAAAGTTGGTCTTTAAGGGGTGCGACTGTGCTAGAGATCCATGTGGAAGCACCTTCATGGCTCATACTGAAATAACACTGCTAGTCTTTTAAGCTGCCACAATATGTTTTGTTTTTCATATGCATGCCAAAATGGACTGACACAATTGCCCAGCAGATGGCCCATAGGAGGAGAAAGAACTTTTTCTTTCCTGGCGCAAAAGTGCCTACAAATCAACATGAATTCTCAAAGAATCTCACCATCTTTGGGCCTGGCAACTCAAGTGTTTCCCAAGACACCCAAGGGAAGACCAAACAGGACATTGCAAAAGTATGCCCTTGGGGTGCTGCTGGCCAGAGTAACTCACAGGTCTCCCACTGCAGCTGGTGCCTAGACAGTCCCTAACCATTGAATCATGCTATAAGAAAGAAGTAACTGAGACACAGAAAACAGTTTTTTAAAAAAATTCAAAGATGCAGCAAAATGTTGTGAACAAGACTTCACCCCTGTGAGAAGGGGAACATCTGGGGAGCTACAAAAGAAAAGAATAGTATTTAAAGGGGGTGTGGTAGAAAAATGAGAGAAAATGGACAACATCACTCACTTTTACTCCATATAGATGCGACATTCATCAACTGTGACCCCCAACTGACTTTCTTGCGGATCTATATAAACATTCCTCGTCCATTTTGAAACACCACGTTGCATTCTGTACTGCCTACAGTGGTACTGTCCTTTCTGTCCTCATCCCCAAGTTCTACAGACTCATCCTGCTGCATATACAAGCTAGATCATCTACAGGCATGTGAAAAAGGAAGTATACCCTTTTTGAAATCTATAGCTTTATGTATTAGGACATAATAAAAATCATCTTGTCCTCAGCAGAGCTGAAAATTGTCACGTTGCATTCTGTACTGCCTACAGTGGTACTGTCCTTTCTGTCCTCATCCCCAAGTTCTACAGACTCATCCTGCTGCATATACAAGCTAGATCATCTACAGGCATGTGAAAAAGGAAGTATACCCTTTTTGAAATCTATAGCTTTATGTATTAGGACATAATAAAAATCATCTTGTCCTCAGCAGAGCTGAAAATTGTAAGTTGTAAGCCGCCCAGAGACCTCTGGGTAGTGTGGGCGGCATATAAATAAAATAAAATAAA